AAGCAGGAGAACAATTAAGTGGTCACGCAAGATTAAGGGGCCCATGATCCATTCTGTGAACACTTGGGAAATGGGTAGAGATGGGAGAAAAATTTGGTCTCAGGGCTAAGAATATGGCTCAGTGTTAGAACATTTGCCAAAGAAGCACGAGGCCCTGGGTTCAATCCCCAGCACCAGAAAAACAAAAAGTCTCAGAGGTCTCACCATGCTAATTTGGTCATTTCTGATGAAAAAAAGTAAAAAATAAGAATACAGTTGTCTAAAGATATCTTAAAGCTAAAAATAAAACAAAACCTGAATAGCAAGGTTTTTGTTTTTTTGGCTAACTCCTCTTGGAATCACCTTTCTGGTTTGGCTAGTACTTTGCACAGAGCAATGAGGTTTGCCATAGTAGAGTCTTTCCCTGGGCTCTGTTTGGCTCTCAGTAAGGCAGGCCYATTCCTCTTTTCCTCCTCTATGGAGAGGGCAATAGGGATTAGGCTGGAAAGTTACCTTCCAAAAGTGARAAGGGAATTAGATTGCTGCTTCAGAGCTATGAAATTATTTGGAATGTTTTACAAATGGTTACTGTAACAACAAAAAAAGTAATTTACAAAATATGTACATCACAACATGCTTTTAAAGATACTTTGTGCGTTGTGCTCACATTCCCTTAAATGCTGTTCCCAAAGGTGCTCTGCCTCTAGCCCAGCTGGAATGTCTGGGAAGAAGCAGAGACAGTTTGGTGAAAAAGACAAGGGGGTAGGGGGTCCAGGGGGTGTTGAAAGGAGAAAGCAGCCTTCCAGTTAAAGATCAGCCCTCAGTTTCAAGGTCAGCTTCGGGCTGGCTGGCCTCAGGTGGAGTCAGGGTCAGAGGGAGGAGCAGCAGCAGGGCRGGACTGGGGAGCTCTACATCTCATTCAGGTCAAGCAGAGTCTGGTCCAGCATCCTTTGTGTACAGAGGTGCTCCTCTTTGGTGCATTTCAGCTTATCTTCCAAATCATCAATTGTCTTTTGTAGTTTGGCTACCGATCTCAGCGTGGGTCTCTGTCTCCTTGAGTTTATCAGTGAGAATCTTTATTTCTTCCTCATATTTGTCTTCTTTTTGAGAGGACTTTTCTTCAGTAGCATTCAGACACTTCAGGTTCTGGTCCATCAGTCTGATCTGCTCATCTGTCTCTCTGCAACGGGACTCTGCCAGCTCAGCTCGTTCCTCTGTGCATTCCAAGTCTCCTTCAATAATCACTAACTTGCGAGCCACCTCTTCATACTTCCTATCTGCTTTTTCTGCAATGTGCTTAGCTTCTTTGAGTTGGATTTCCTGGAGTGCCATCTTTTCTTCATCTTTTAGGGCCCGGTTTTCAATAACCTTTGTACCTCTCTCACTCTCATCAGCAGCTTTTTCTGCTTCCTCCAGCTTTTGCAGGGCAGTAGCAAGGCACTCCTGAGCACGGTCCAGCTCCTCTTCGACCAGTTGGATCGTTACATTCAAGGAGGCTACCTCAGCCTCAGCCTGTTCCCGGGCGTGCCTTTCTCCCTCAACTTCCCGCTGGAGGCGCTCAGCCCTCTCCTCGGCATCATCCGCTTGCTGCTGCAGAACCTGGATCTTGTGCTTCACCGCCTTGTCGGTGGTGATCCCGGCCATGGTGCCCACCCAGTGGCTTCTCGTTATCTGCCTTCCCATTTTTAGTTTTACTACCTGCATATCAGTATTATATGCAAGGAATCATTGCCAAAACCAAAGCCATGAAGTTTTGTCTGATACTTTATTATGAGAATTTATGGTTTTAGTCCTTATATTCAAGTCTTTGGTTCATTTTGAGTTCATTTTTATATATGGTATAAGGTAAATGGACAATGCCATTCTTGGGTATATGGATTTCCATATTTCTCACCGTTTGTTGAAACTAAAAGACAGTTCTATCTCCATGCAATGGTGCTGACACTCTAGTAAAAAAAAAAAAAATCATTTAAATGTGTATGTAGCAGTTTGTTTCTGCCTTCTATTCCATAAGTCTACATGTGTTGGTCTTTATGTTTTCTTTTTAATTTTTTAAATCTATTTTTATGTGTTGCTGAGGATTGAACCCAGTTCCTCACATGTGCTAGGTGAGCACTCTACCACTGAGCCACAACCCCAGTCCCTGGTCTTTTTGTTTAATTGACTTTTTATAATAAGTTTTCATCTTTAATGTCAGTGTTTTAACTTTCAAAGTACCATATTAACTATTTTTTTCTGGGGCTTTTTGGGTCCCATTTTATCTAGTTATGAGAAATTGACAATCCTGGTGGTCCATTTTCAAAATACAGTATTTAACCTTAAATGTAAAATGACCTGGGATATAAGAAAGGCAGCCTGAGTGAAGAGCCGAATGGAAATTAACAAACAGTTAATACCTCAGTGTAAAATTTTACAGCTCCTTGACACACAGGAGGTGAGAAGGAGACCTGGCCTGATCAACTGAGAAAAGCTGTGTTCCTGTCAAAAGGCACTCAACCCAGAGGGCCTGTCCCACCACAAGGGAACACCACAAGAGAGGTGGGGACAAGTAGAGGATATATTTCTTTAAATAACCCAATAGGAAATAGTGAAGTTGGCTCCAACCAATGAGTAGTGGTCCAGTACCCCTTTTCCTTCATAGCTGTTCTCCCAAAGCCAATGAGGTCCCCTCTGACCTATAGGCAAGGACCCAGTCCCCTTGTGTCAGAAAGAAAAGCCAAGCTGACTGCCTGCCAGGGACCCCTGCATTGGTTTAGATGGCTGTGGGCCCTTCTGGGCATGGAAGTAAACTTATTGCCCTGTTGACAGAGCTGATTAGTCTTGACTGTTTATTTTCATGCCCAGGACTCAGTATATTTTTTCCAACACAGTAAAATGTATAACTGCCAAAGGTTTAATTTAATTTTAATTTGTCATTCATTGTGTGATAGCATCTATAACCCAATATGAGACATATTGCCACAATTGGTACCATGAGTGTAGGATATTGAAGCAACTATGCAGTTAAAATGAGGCTTAAAGGCTGGGATGTAGTTCAGGTGTAGAGCATTTGCCCAGCATGCTCAAGGCCATTGGTTAATCCCTAGTACTGAAAAACAAACAAATAAACAATGCTGAACTATTTTTCTTCTACTTTGTGTGTAGCTATTTTTCTAATATTATAGCAGACAAAATATTTTCCTTTTGTTTCAGATTCAGGTATATGTATTTGTACCCTAGAAATTGATCATGTATGGAACTTATTAATTTAGTCCATTTAATTAATTATTTATTTAGATGCTAGGGATTGAACCCATGGACAGTTTACCAGTGAGCTACATCTCCAGCCCTTTTGTTTGTTTTTTTTTGTCTTTTTCCTGGTGCTAGAAACCAGAGGCACTTTTCCACTGAAGTACATCTCCAGTCCTTTATATTTTTTATTTTGTTTATTTTTTGGTGGTGCTGGGGATTGAACTAAGGGCCTTGTTCATGTTCAAACACTCTACCAACTGAGCTACATATTCTGCCACGTATATGTATTTTTTATTTTTATTTTGTGACAGGGTCTTCCTAAGTTGCCATGAGAGTTGAGAGTCATGATAAGTTGCCAAAGCCTGCCTTGAACTTAGGATCCTAATGTTTCATTTTCCTGAGTCACTGGAATACAGGCCTGTATCACTGCTTCTAGCTTAATTAGTACATTTTAGCAAATGCTAATATTAATTCAGAACTTATATTGATATGTGGTTATTATATACAATTTCTTTTATAAAACTGTGCTATATAAATGTTAGTGTGTAAGTTTTGGATTTCTAATTGGGTCAAATGGCAAATCTATATTTTTGTGAATGCATGTGTTTTAGTCATCTATTTTGCCACTCTGACTAAAAGACCCAACCAGCACAATTGTAGAGGAGGAAAGGTTTATTAGAGGGCTCAGGGTTTCAGAGGTCTCAATCCATAGACAGCAGGCTCCATTCCTCAGGACTCAAGGTGAGGCAGAAGACCTTGGCCTAAGAATGTAGCAGATGGATGAAGTTCGCATGGTGATCAGAGAGAGGGAGACTCTACTTACTCTCCAGATACAAAATGTGTACCTCATAGCCACGCTTCCAATCCCCATCTTCTCCAGCTATGCCCTGCCAATTCAGTTACCACTCAGTTAATCCCTATCAGTTGTTTGTGGAAAAAATTCAGTATGAGTCTTCTAGTAGGTTACAGAAAGGGAAAGTAGAGCAGGTATCCTGTGACCTGCCTTTAGGCAGACTTTTCTGTTCTGGAGCTTTTGAAATTGCCTTCAGGGATTGGGGTTTACACTTATTGGTCTAGAAGCATTTCTTTTGGACAGGATGGTTTTCTCTTGTGTATCAGTCCCTTTTCATTGTTTCTTTCTTTTTTTTAAGTCTCCTTGTGTCTCTAACTGTTTTGTTTCTTTTATTAACCCCATGAAGTTCTGGTGTTTCCTAAGTGGATCTCTGCATGGGTGCTGGCCTCCCTCTGGTACTATGTCCCAGTTAATTTTTTTTAAAGAATGAAAAAGTAGGATTTATTCAAGTATGAAGAACAGAAATGTAACTCCTATAGCCACAACAAGGGACCCCAATAGTGGTTGCCCTCTTGTTGATTTTTTTAAAAAGATATTTATTTTTTAGTTGTACTTGGACACAATACCTTTATTTATTTTTATGTGGTGCTGAGGATCGAACCCAGGGTCTCGCACGTTCAAGGCAAGCACTCTACTGTTGAGCCACAGCCCCTCTTGTTGATTTTCGAGGAGCCTGGATCCTCTTCCAGTACAGTGATGAGATCATTATTCTCGAGGCTCCAGATTGATAGCCTAAGGCCTTCTGTATGCTGTTAAGCAAACGTAGTCAGTAAAGATCCATGCACTTTATCCGGGCATTTTACCTTCCTGAATCAATTGCATGATGTCTTTTGGGGTTTTAGGAGATTGAGGACATAGTCTTCTCTCACTTTTACATTTTTCAGTAAGCATACTTGTGCTAGTCACAAACGGTATGATCTCTTGTACGTCACTAGGTCAGGGGATAAATTACAACAGCAGCAAGACAAGTGATAAAAGTTTACATTTATAACTCTTTTCACTGAGTGCATAGCCTACTTCCTGAGTTTAAAACATCACACTGACTGTGTGTCAATCACCACATATGAGAGCTTCCAAAGAGGGTTCTCCTATTCAACAGGGCAGGGTGGGATGAATGGGAATCAAGAAATGCTACAGTTTGTCCTGACAGTTCTCCATGTTACCCTGTCAATTGGTCAAGTGCACTCATCTAGCTGGCCCCAAAATGTTGGGAAATAAATCCAAACTCACTTTATTCTGAAAAGCCTTTTTAAGGTTAACCTAGTCAATTTGAAAAGGGTGCCCCTAAGAGTATAATGTTCAGATCAAGGCAAGTAACTCAGCTCAGACCATAAGTTGGGGGAGACTCAGTATTCAAGTTCTGCATTCAGGGTAGGAATCCACAGCAACAAACAGCATTTGTAGCCACAGTGCAGGCATGCAGCAGCAGCAGCAGCAGCAGCCTGGAGCGTACCACAGCCTCCTGGGGCACGCCCGTACTATCAGTGAGCCATGAGGAGTCTAACAGCCTATCATCCTGGTCAATGGCCAACCACCCTGTTTCCTACAATTGTTCTAAAATATAGGTTTTGTTACCTTTTGGTAATGGGGATTCCAAGCAATCAGGAGATAGATTGCCACTGTGAAGACATTGTTTATACTCACAGGTCTAAGGAAGAGAGGGTGAGCCACCCCATGGCGGAACTTTGGCAAAGCACCAGTATCATTCACAACAAGGCAAGTGGGGAGAGGGGTCATGTAGGCAGGAGCTTTTAGAGTTTGTAATATCGACAGGCTCTAGGGTATGGGGGAGGGCGGGAGGTGTGGGGCTAGTGAATAGTGGCTCAGAGTGTGAGAGGCCACTGAAGTGGCTGGGATTGTGGGCTCTGGAGTGCTTGCTGTACAATATGATAGCCATTGTCATAGTACAATCATTGATGTCTGTTTAATCTGGCATACCCTAAGAGGGGTAAATCCTCCAAGGTCAGCACAGCTAGAGCTGTGCATGAGAATATAGAAATAATAAAAGGATATGGCTCACACTACTGGCCCTGAGATGCTCTGACCATATAAAATATATGACATCATTAATAGTAGCAAGTTAAAGGAATGATTGTGGTGGAGGATGAATGTGTGGCAGGAGGTCATGGCGGAAAGCTAGTTCTTAGAGTATGGGAAGATAAAAGGAGTGAATGGTCCATTTCCTAGGGGTCAAAGATAGGTGATAGTCCCCAGGTGACTTCTGGGGAAAACCATCCTCCTGCATTTTTGAAGTTATATTAATAGTGGTACATTCTCCCACATTTCTTTTTAGGCATGGAAGTGTACTTATGTGTATGTTGGCAGAATAACGGTTATACCTAGGTCATGGGCTAAGCAAAGATAACATCGCAGAATCTCTAATATCAAAGTAGGAAAATAAAATAATGTCATGTATCCAATTTTGTCTTAAGAGAGGTAGTCTAAGGACCTTGTTGGGGGCCAGTGTTCACATCCAGGATAAAGTTATATCTGCTGCATTGTGCAAAGTCATCTTCAGTAGTGAGCTCTTGGGCAGGTAATGTCATTATGGCTATTGGACTATCCAAGTGGATACCAACTCAAGCTAAGAGGGATCATATTTTGTTTATGTGTCTGGTTTTATGATGCTATAATGAGTTTAATCTGCTTGTATAACTTGAAGGCAATGTGGTTCCTAGTATCTTGACTTTCCAAGTATCTTTTAATTCAAGGAGCTTTTTGGTACATCATGCACAATTGTGACTTAAGCATGCATAGCAGAGCTCCACTGAGACAATTAAATTCCCAAGAAGATATTACCAAACATACACATTTACAATTCTCTTAGGTTTTTCCCAGATGGTGATGAAAGGAGTTTATTTGCAAACAGGTTTTAAATCCCTTAGTCTGATTTGGGTATATTTTTTTTAGTAGCATGTTAGGTCATATGCAAATCACAATATTAAGACTCAAGTTTGTAGATCCAGCATTAAGCCAAAATTTGGCAAACGGCTGTGGGCCTTTGTTCAGTTTTCAGTTTGGTAGGTAACATAAGTTGTTGAGGTATAGAGCTGAAGGGCCTCTCTTAGCTAAACTAGATTGGCATAAAGAGCCTCAGCATTTGCCATATCTGGTTGAAAAGATGAGTTGCTTTGAAGCCTGTGGGCTTCTAACTTGCAAAGCAAGGAAAGTATTAAAACCATCCAATAATAATGAGGGCCACAATCAACAGAATTGTTGAGGTTTACCTAGGAATTTCTTTTCGCAGGGGGCGGGGGGGGGGAGATATTGCAAGGCTGCCAGCGCCTTGCTGGGGGTTATTTCTCCTGCCCAGGAGGGGGATAAGCCAACTGAAAAAATACAGTCTGAAATAATTAGTAAAGAAGTAAGACAAAGTCAGAATTATAGTTTTAGGAAGCATGGAGCGCCTGATAGGTCCAGCCCACACAGGAGCTAA